GGCTAACCTTGAATTCACTATGTAGCCTAGCTGACCTTGAACTCACAACGATCCTCCTACCTCACCTTCCCAAGTGGTAGGATCACAAGTGTATGCCACCACACCTGGCTATATTTTTCTTATAAAGAACATTTAAATCATAAATGATTTTTTTTTTTTCCTTTTTTCCTTCTCATATCAAGGATTGAACTTGGGACTTTGTGCTTGCAAGGCAGGTGCAGTGGCACTCTGCTAAACCCCTGGCCCTATGATTTTTTTTTTAGGACTTTCACTGTGCCAAGCTCTGTCCTCAGCCACTTTCAAACTTTGACTTTAGGGATTATATTAGCTTTCTCATTTTATAGAGAAGGAAACTGAGCCACTGGGGAGTTAAAGTGGTTCAAGTTCACCTTCTTAGTAAATGCCAGCCACAAGTCCAGCCAATCCCTGAGCTGCAGGCCCTGACTTCTGTTGTACAGTTTTTGTGGGGGTGGGTACCAGGGATCGAACCCGGGTCCTTGTGCTTATGAGGCAGGCAGTGGAACCACTGAGCTAAATCCCTGGCCCAGTACATCTTGTTCCTTAATCTGCAGTTTAACAATGTTAACAGAGTTCTTTTTTTTTTAGGTACTGGGAATCGAACTCAGCACCTTGCGCTTGCGAGGCAGGCATGGTGCCACTCAGCAATCCCTGGCCCTAGACTTACTATGGTAGTGCACCCAAGTATTCTGAGTCCTTAAAATGACAGTATTATGTGAGTGCTGTGGTAAATTTTTTGCCAGTCTATTCATGGAAATTAAATATTTATAATATTGACTACTAGTAAATTATCTTGCAAGGAATATCATCGTATAGGTCAGGCTACACCTTCCTCATGATGAATTTCAAGAGCTTCTGCTGTCCCGTCCTGAAGCTGAGGCTCCCTCTCATTGGCTTTCCCCATCACTGGAGTGGAACATTCTCAGTCTTTAAAATCTTGCCAACCTGCTGATACAGTAATTTCATTTTTCATCTCTTTAAATTTGCATTTATTTAATGATAAAGCTGAGTGTACTTTTCTGTTTAGTGATCAAATGCTGTAAATTTCTTTGTGACCTTTGCTTTTTTTTCTAGAGGATTTTTGACTACTAATAGTGGGGTTTTTATGTAGATTTATTGATAATGTTAAACCTTTGTCAAATGTGCTCTAAGTATTTTTCCCTCATTTTTGCCTTTGTACCTTATAGAAGTTCTGAATATTTTGTCAAATGTGAAAATTTTTTGGTGCTGAGAATTGAACCCAGTATGTACTTCACACATACTAGGCAGGCTCTACCACTGAGCTATCCCAAGTCCCGTCCAGTTTATCTTTTCTTTTTCTTTTTCAGTACTGGGGATTGAACTCAGGACCTTGTCCTTGTGAGTTAGGTGTGATGCCACTGAGCCAAATCCCCAGGCCCTCAAGTATCTTTTCTGCATTGTTTTGTTTTTGTGCTGGGAATTGACCTCCGGGCTAAACATGTACCAGTGAATTATACCCTCAGCCAAATTCTCCTTAGTGATTATCCATTCTGCAGCCCTTAAATAACATCTGTTGCTACCATGCCTCAAATCTCCAGCCTACATTTCCTATCCAGGTGCCTAGTCAAGTCTCTCTGTTGAGGGAGCTGATAAATATTTCACATTGGTTATTATAAAAAATTAGCTCCTGGTATTCCTTTGCAAAATTATCTCATAGTTTTCCCCGTCTCAGCAAACATCAAGTCTTTTCTTCCAGTTGCTTAGGCCAAAAACCTTGGAGTCATGTTTCGTACTTTGGTTGTTCTCTCATTCTCTGTATAACTGGATCACTTCACACCATGCCCAGAGGTGCCATTCTTTACCAGGTCCCCATCCTCTGTCTCTTGTGATAACATTTGCTTCCTCACTGTCCTTTGCTGGTCTTTCTTGTTTCTCCCTGCTCTTCCATGGTATCTAGTGCTAACCTTGGGTAAGACTGTTGGATCAGCTTTCTGTGGTAGATGCCAACATCCTCCGTTGGGTCTCTTTAAGACCCGCATTAATCTATCCTCTTTATTTTTTGACACCTTCTATTGTCTGTCCCTTGCTCAGTCTGTTTTAGCCACACTGGTCTCCTGACTGTTGTCTGAGCACCCCGGGCCCATTCCTACCCCAGGGCTTTGGCACTTGGTACTCCTTCTGTAGTGTTTGTACAGATAGCCTTGTGGCTTCTTCTCACTTCCACCTGGCTTTACTTCTGGCTTGTTCCAGCTAGTTGATTTCATCCAGGTTTTCAGACTCTCATCCTTACATTTCCTGACTTCCTTTCTTTATTTTCTGTGCTTTTAATATTCTGTACTTTTGTTTATTGCCTGTCTTCTTCATTAGACTGTAAGAAGCTTCATGGGAGTAAGGATTTTTGTTTTGTTTTGATTGTGGTTTCAAACTGCTTAGTAGTGTGTGGGCTGCATAGTGGACACTCAGTGGATGCTTGTTGGTTGAATGACAGGGTGAGTGATGGGCTAGAGTTTCAGGCTTGTGGATTAACTAGGACCAGCATCTCCTAGACTAGCACTGGATTTCATTTTGGTGCACATGTGAATTAATATATTTGACATGTTCCCCTTAAGATGATAACATGGCTTGGTCATTATAGGAGAGAAACTGCAGACTTTGAGCAACAGAAAGCAAAAGAATTGGCTCGAATAGAAGAATTTAAAAAAGAGGAAATGAGGAAGCTACAAAAGGAGCGTAAAGTTTTTGAAAAGTATACTACAGCTGCAAGAACTTTTCCAGATAAAAAAGAACGTGAAGAAATACAGGTATACTAGCTATTTATAAGTTAGTAAAGGCAAAAATCTTGTTAGAATTATTTGATACATCATAGAGAAATTGGGTATTAATCCATTATTCGTTCATTCAAAATATAATCTGTCTAGGACAGTGCATCTGGGACATCTTTTACAGCCTGATTTCTAACTAGTACAATATGTTTGTTTTTTTCTAATATTGAAGGTGTGCTAAAGATATAACACAAAGATATTTGTGACATTGGCATATGCAAAGATTTCTAATTCAGGGCACAATGAGCAAGTATAAAAGAAAATAGATGTGTCGAACTTAAAGCTTCAACTTATCAAAATAAAAATTTTAAAGGGTATCCATTATTTCTACATAAAATGCAAGATTGTCTCTTACTTTCTACTTTTTGTTTTTTTTATTTATTTGTTTATTTTTAGTACTGGGGATCAAATGCTCTTGCAAGGCAGGTGGTGGAACCACTGAGCTAAATCCTGGTCCCTTTCTGCTTTTTAAGTAATAATGTTTTTGAGTTCCACCCTCTGCATCCTTCCTTTCTCATGTCCTGTTGTGTCGTTGAGCAATTCATCTATATACCTTACAGCTTTAGTTACTGCATGCCATATCACACAAGGTTTTTAATTCTGTTAAATATATTTGTGGGAAGAATTTGTGCTAATAAGTTTTGGTTGATGTTTGGCATGCTAAATTTTTTATGTTTGGTATTGGGGATCAAATTCTGGACCTTGCACTTGCAAGGCAGGTGTCGGAACCACTGAGTTAAATCCCCGGCCCCTTGGTGTGCTAAATGTAATATGGTAGATTTTTTAAAATCTTTAGACATTTTTACTTTTAAAGGTAATATAAATATATTGCAATTCAGAGGTTACAAAAATGTATGTAGTGAAATCCCTCACTTTTGTCTTGGCCACCTGTTCACCTCTTTGTTAAAAAAAAAACAAACAACTTTTTTTATATTATAGAGAATTTCAAAGAACATAAAAGTAGCAAGAATGTCATGAATTCCTCTGCTTTGTCATTGATCATCTTGTCTTCCTGAGTTCTTCTCTCTTTTCCTTTGTACTCTTTCTTTTCTCTGCAATCTGGAATATTTAAAATGAAATCCCAGGGTGGTGCAGTGGTGCACACTTGTAGCCCTAGATAGGGGTTGAAGGCCAGCTTGGCCTACATAGGAAGTTCAAGACCACCCTGTCTCATAAAAACCCCACTCTGTTACATGGGGTGCTCTCAAGGCCCTCTGTAACCAAGCACTGGATACGGCTCCACCTGGAACACCCAAACGCACCTCTGGATCCGTGATGGTAGTACTCCTTTGTGTAGCTTTGACAACAAATTCAGCACAGGCAGGACAAAAACCTACCTCAGACACACAATAAGAAAGATTTTGAAATTTCCGCCCTTATTGCTGTCGTTGTTTCCATGGTGGCAGCTGTTTCCACCACAACAACAGCAAAAGTCACCTCACAAAATCAAGTGGCGACAGCAGCAACACTCAACCAGCTAACAAAAAATATCACCTAAGCCTTCAAAAAGACCGCACTGCTATTTCAAGATGTCCACGCAGCCATACTCAGTTTACAAATCCAATTAAACTTAGTTTGGGAGGAATTATTACCCAAGTGTTAGATGTAAGTTTAAATAATGTGTGGGATACCATTTGGTAAAAAATTCAGGCTGGATGAAATAATTTGTGTAGGTGGATACGTGGATTGATATTGGGATCCCCATATATATTAACCTTGTTTGGCATATTGTTATTGTTCTTTATTTTAAAGACCAGATGTGCCAGTAACAAAATCATAAAAATGTGGTCCTTTTGGCAGAGGCTCTGGAGTCAAAGACAAAAGGGGGAAATGAGGATCAGGTTCGTGTCTGGCTGAGTCAGGAGCCCCGCACCCATCTTTCCTGAGAAAACTCCGAGGCCTGTTAGGGTTGGAATAATCCGCCCCCTCGGGTGTGTAGAGATCTGACCTTAGACAGATAAACTGTTCCTCTGAAAAACCTCCAAAGTCCTGACTCCATTGGCCTCAGCCCCTAAAACATACAATCCAAAAATTAACATGTGGCCAATAATGTTGTGCCAAATATCCTCACTTCACCCTGGCTCCACCACTGCCTTACCCTATCCAATAGTGATCCAATAGCACCACTCTGGCTCCACCCCACTTTACCCTATTTAAGTCTGTACATTTCCTCAATAAAACGGAAGCGTTCCAGAAACCTCCCCAGAGTCTGCCTGGTGATTCTGCGCCTTGCCTTCCCAGTCTGAGCTCCTGAACCTTGTTACATGAGGAGCCTCGTGGGTGACAGCACTACCCAACCCAACCCTTTCCCTCATTTTATCTAAAAATAATTAGATTTCACACCCAACATGTCTCTGAGAGATACCATTCACAAATGTAATTAGTGTCTGGGAATGTAGCTCAGAGGTGCAGTGTCTGTCTGGCAAGCGTGAGACGCTGAGTTTGATTCCTGATACAAAAAAAAAGTATTTAGTGCCTTTATCACACATAATGGCCTTCACATCAATGACTAGTCCATACCCTGATTTTTCCAATAGCTTAAGGGTATCTTTTTTCATTTTATTTGTTTACATTCTAATTCAGCTCTCCTGAGGCAGCCAGTGTTAACAATCTTGTGTGTGTTTATCAAGTCTGCTATACATGTCCCCCTGCATTCAGTCACCCCCACCCCCCTTTCTTTCTCTTTTTTGCAGTACAGGAGATTGAACTCAGGCCCTTCACACTAAGCTGCATCCTTGGCTCTTTCTTTTTTTTTTGTATCGGGGATTGAACTCAGGACCTTGTGCACCACTGAGCTAAATCCCTGTCCCCTCAGCTTTTTTTATTTTTGAGACAGAGTCTCACTAAGTCACTGATTTGCCAAAGCAAAACTCAGACTTGTAATATTTCTGCATCAGCCTCTTGAATGGCTGGAATTGCAAATATGCACCACTATGCCTGGCTGGATTTTTTCTTTTTATATTAGTGGTAGAATACTGAAGTCATTCTATATTTCTCTTTTTAAAAATTGATTAGGGCATGTTAATATTACTTAACAATGGGGTTTATTTTGGGAAGTTTCAAGCATTTAACCTAGCTTAATCAATTTCCATCTCTTTGTCCCCTCTCCTCCCTGTTGTCTCTCTTCCTGCTTGACCCTTTACCTGTCACCAGAAGGCTACTCCTGGTTTCCTGTCTTCTTTTATTTTTAATTACGTGTTTATGTATGTTTTAGGTTTCTCATATAAGAACACGTGATATTTAAACTTTCTGAGTCTGGCTATAGCTAATTTCACTAAACATGATTTTTTTTTAAGGCCCTTTGCACCGAGCTGTATCTCTAGCCCCTTTTGTAATTTTCAAGACAAGGTCTTGCTAAGTCACTAAGTTGTCTTGGCTGGGCTCAAACTTGTGATCCTCCCACTTTCGCCTCCCGCAGTGTTGGCATTATAGTCATGTGCTACCATTCCCAGCTCAATACTGTAGTTCCTAATTCAGTTTTCTTGCAATGACATGATTTTGTTTCTTTTTATGGCTGAGTAATATCCCATTGTGTGTATATGCTCCATTTGTTTGTTCATCTGTTGACAGGCATCTAGGCTGTTTCTACAACTCAGCTGTTGTGAATTGAGCTGTTATTAACATGGATGTGCATGTACCACTAAAGTATGTATTTTGTAATTCTGTCAGGAATATGCTGAAGAATAGTATAACTTGGTGAAATGTTTTTAGTCTTTCATGGAGTTTCGATACTGATTTCCATAGCAGTTGTACTAGTTTACTTTCCTGCCAAAGATGTAGAACGTTTCCTTTTTCCCTGCATCTTTCCCACCATTCAGTTTGTTTTTTTTCTGGTACTGGGGATTGAACTTAGGGCCTTTGCACTGAGTTAAATCCCCAGCCCTTTTTATTTTGAGACAGATCTTGCTAAGTTGCCGAGGCAGAATTTGAATTTGCAATCCTTTTGCCTCAACTTCCCAAAGTGCTGGAATTATAGGTGTGCTGTACTACATACATAGTGGTTTTTTGGTATGCTTGATAATAGATATTCTGACTGAGGTGAAGTGGAGTCTGAAAGTAGTTTTAGTTTTAATTTTTCTGATGACTAGACTTGTTGTACATTTGGTCATTCAGACATTTGAGGAGTATCTATTTAGTTCTTTTGCCTACTTTTTTTTTTTTGGTATTGGGGATTGTACTTGGGACCTTGCCTTGAGAGACAGGTGGTGGCAGCACTGAACTACTACATCCACAGCCTTATTTGTCTACTTTTTTATTCAAGTCACTGTTTGATGGGGAGGTTAATCTTTTAACTTCTTTATATAGTCTAGATACTAATCCTCTCCAGGCATGACTCCTGCCTATAATTCCAGCACCCAGGAATCTGAGGCAGAAGGATCACTGCAAATTTAAAGCTAGCCTGAATTATACAGTGAGACCCTGTCCTATCCCGAAGAAAACCCCATAGAAAAAAATTGAACAAAACAAAAAGATATTAAAGACCTCTTAGAAGAATAGCTAGCAAAGATTTTCTCCTGTTTAGTAGGTTATCTTTCTTTTTCTTTCAGTACCAGGGATTGAACAACAGGAGGTGCTTACAAGGCAGGCATGGTGCCACTGAGCTGAATCCCCAGCTCACTCATGCACTTCCCCTCCCTTTGTTTTTTTTGCGAGACAGGGTCTCACTGTATAATTCAGTCTGGCCTTAAACTCACTATGTAGCTCAGGCTGACCACAAACTTGGTGGTAGTCCTTCTCTACTTCAGCTTCTGAGTAGCTAGCATTATAATTGTGCACCACCATGCCTGGCTTAGTGGGTTGTCTTCATTCTTGTTTCTTTTGGTGTGCAGAAACATTTTAAATTTGTAGGCCCATTTGTTGATTCTTAGATTTCCTGTTCAGGAGTCTGCCTGTGCTTATGGCTTCAAGTGTTCCCCTATATTGTCTTCTAGCAGTTCCAATGTTTCTAATTTCATATCTATGCCTTTGGTCTACTTTGA